GAAATAACTCTTTAGAAACCAGATGGCTGTGGAGTGCCGGGCAGCCGGCTCTGGAAAGAGCTTTTCTTCAGATACAGCCTTCTGCTAGTCTGATGAGGTGGAGTTCATGCACTACCAGATAGATGTAGGACTGGTGCGCCCAGTGCCGTATCTATAAGGGTACGGTTCTGACTTTAGGCAGAGCAGGAGCTATGCAGGTGTGTGTGTGATTTCAATGGTTATTGGGTGAGTAAGGGGGGTGGGTCTGAAGGTTCCAGGATTGTCATCCCTATCTGTTTCATTTGGTCTCTCATGTTTTTGTCTTAGAGGTTCTGTGTAACATTTCTGTTTCTGTCCATCATCTTGCCAGAAGTCTCTCTCCCCCATTTGAGTTAGGTTATTCTCCCATTGCTTGCAGTTTACCCTCAGGAAGAATGTGTTTGAAAGTAGATTTAATTACTATGCAGAAATGTTTATCAAAAGAACTAGGGAGTCGGGGAGGGAGGGGAAAAATGAGGACCTAATGTCGGGGGTTTAAATGGAAAGAAATGTTTTGAGAAACGATGTACAAATGCGCTTTACACAATTGATGTGTGTATGGATTGGGATAACAGTTGTATGAGCCCCTAATAAAATGTTAAAAAAGAGAGAAAAAAAAAAAAAGAACTAGGGAATGAGGGGAAAAATGAGGACTTAATGCGGGGGAGGGGGGAAGGGAGGGCTTAAGTGGAGAGCAAATGTTTTGAGAATGATGAGGGCAATGAATGTACAAATGTGCTTTACACAATTGATGTATGTATGGATTGTGATAAGAGTTTTATGAGCCCCTAATAAAATGATTTAAAAAAAAGAACTAGGGAACTTGATTGGGCATGATCTTAATGATTTCTTAAAAACAGCCAATCCCGTAACCTCTTTTAACCTTCAATTATATATTTATCTATGGTAATTAGATGATTTTATGTGAACTCCTGTCTAGTGGTGGAGTCCAACCTGTCACTCAGATCACCGCCTGATGCTATGTCCTTGAGGGTGTAGCCCTCTCATAAGGAGGACCCTGGGACCCTCCCCCTCTCTTCGCCACTGGTCCTGAGCCCTGTCATGTTTCTTCTGACCTTGGATCCACCTGACTGCACCCACCAGCCTGTGATCTTCCTACATTCTACATCATTGCATGTGGCTTTGTAAGTCTGAAGAGGGACTTATGAACTAGTATAGTACTTATGAACTTGAGTTGGACTGAGCTGGGTGCTTTCTTGATATATAATTACTTCTTGATATGAAGCTCTTTCTTACACATATATGAATGTCAACTGGATTTCTTTCTCTAGTCAACCCAGGCTAAAACTATCCCAATCACGGTCCACTCCCTGCTTCTGTCATTCCCCCTTTACTTTATCCTTTATTGAATATAATAAACACCATAACTTTGCTTCATTGGATTACTCTAGTGTCTGTGCTGGGTACCTGCTGACTGTTTCTTGTACCCGGATGACTGCCAGGGTCCTATTTAAGGGTCTTTGAAGGGTCTCAAAGACCACTGTCTTCAGTATGTGTTACACATCAATGTAAAAAGAACAAAAATCTCTACAATTGAACACAATATACAGCATCATGATAAAATAGAGAAACTGTTGAAGGTGTCAAGGATATAATTTTATTGGGAGTCACAATGTCTGCTAATAGAATCAATCAAGAAACCAAATGATGTATTAAATTGGACTAATCTGCTGCATGTGACCCCTTTAAAGTGCTGAAGGGCAAAGATGTCACTGAGGACTGAGTGTGCCTGACTGAAATCACCTGATAGCCACGTGAAAGCTGGATAATGATTGAATAAGGAAGATTGGTTAATTGATGCTTTTGCATTTTGGTGTTGCAAAAGAATACTGAATATACCACTGACTGTCAGAAGAACAAACATCTGTCCTGGAAGGAATACAGACAGATGCTCTACTCCTTAGCGCGAAGACAGGTGAGCCAGTACCTTAAGTTCTCAGGATGTTTTATCAGGAGGAACAGTCCCTAGAAAAGGATGCCATGTTTGGTAAGATAGAGGGGCACCGGAAGAAGAAGACGACCCTCGATGGTCTGTATTGTTGACACAGTGGCTACACAATGGGTTCAACCCTAATAATGGTGGAGTGTGCTTTTTCGTCTTGTACATGGGGTCATTATGTCTACACATCACCTAACAACAACATAGAACAGTTTTGACTGTAACACAGATTTTTAATCAATGTCTTAAAAGAATCAACATCATGGAAAGCCATATACGTGAACCTTCTTTGGATCTTGTTTTTAAAAAACGACAACCCTGTTAGGTAGTTCATGTTTAAAGTGAGGTGCATTTTGCTTGATATTATAGAATTGTTCATTGCTTAGGTATGATAAATAATAGCAGCGTATCATAAGATATTCCTTTTTAAAATTAAATCATTTTATTGGGGGCTCTTAAAGCTCTTATCACAATCCATCCATCCATTGTGTCAAGCACATTTGTCCATATGTTGTCATCGTCATTTTCAAAACATTTTCTTTCTACTTGAGCCCCTGGTATCTGCTCCTCATTTTTTCCCTCCCTCCCCTCCCCTCCCTCATGAACTCTTGATAATTTATAAATTATTATTTTCATATCTTACATTTTCCACTGTCTCCCTTCACCCACTGTTCTGTTGTTCATCCCCCTGGGGTGCGGGGTGTTATATGTCGATCTTTGTGATTGATTTCCCCTTTCTCCCCCCGGCCTTCCCCTTCTCCTCCTGGTATCTCTATTCTCATTATTGGTCCTGATGGGTTTATCTGTCCTGGATTCCCTGTGTTTCAAGCTCTTTATCTGTAGCAGTGTACATATTCTGGTCTAGTTAGATTTGTAAGGTAGAATTGAGGGCATGATAGTGGTGGGGGAGGGGGCATTAAAGAACTAGAGTAAAGTTGTATGTTTCAATGGTGCTATACTACACCCCGATTGGCTTGTCTCTTCCTTGTGACCCTTTTGTAAGGGAATGTCCAATTGTCTACAGATGGGCTTGGGGTCTCCACTCCATGCCCCTCTCCCATTCACATTGGTATGATTCTTTTGTTCTGGGTGTTTGATGCCTGATACCTGATCCCATTGACACCTCATGACCACACAGGCTGGTGTGCTTCATCCATGTGGGCTTTGTTGCTTCTCAGCTAGATGGCCACTTGTTTTTCTTCAAGTTTTTAAGACCCCAGATGCTATATCTTTCGATAGCCGGGCACAATCAGCTTTCTTCACCACATTTGCTTATGTACCCATTTTGTCTTCAGCAATTGTGTTGGCAAGGTACGCATCACAGAATGCTGGATTATTAGAACAAAGTGTTCTTGTGTTGAGGGAGTACTTGAGTAGAGGCCCAATGTCTGTCTGCTACCTAGAAATATAAGTACATAGATCTATTTGCTTATTGTTATATATAAATATATTTACATATGTACATGCCTGTATTTAGTCCTCAATAAGTGCCCTTCACCTCCTAATTCTTCTATTTCCTTTTACTTTCCTCTTGTCCCACTATCATGTTCAGCCTTCATTCAGGTTTCAGTAATTCCTTGTGGTTACAGCGGCTACATTACCCTTGATTAAGCCCCACTAGGCATCCTATACCCTTCTCTCCATTGATTTTCGTTCACTTGTTGTTCCCTTGTCTCTGGGCTGGTTGACACCCCCCTTCCTTTCTCCCACCTCCCTAACTCTGTGTCTCCCTGGAACCATTGGTCCTGTTGTTTTCTCCTCTGGATTGTTTATCCTGCCTATATTATCTAGTTAGACATGCAGAGACAATAATAAGCACCAAAACAAGGCAAAGCCAAACAAAACAACAAAAGAAGACAAAACAAACAACAAAAAATCCAACAAAATAAGAACAACAAAAAGAAAGCCAATGACAAAAAAGGAAAAGCCTATAAATAGTTCCAGGTCTGTCTTTGACCTTTAGGATAGTTTTCCAGTCTGATGGGGTACCACACTCTGTCCCCAAAGTCCATTTTTGGTATTCCTTGGGGACTTCATTGCTTTGCTCCCCTTACTGCTCTGTTGCACACCCTTAGTGTTTCGCCCCAATGTGATGGAATCAGATTGGGCACAATTCCCACACAGTGTCTCCAGTGTTGTCCCCTGCAGAGCTATGGTTTAGCAAGGGATGTTGTGTCTCATGGTGGGGCCGGTCCTATGACCCTCTCTGTGCATTGTCTGCTCTGAGCAGGAATATTGTCCTCAGGGCTTGGTGGCCCAGGATGTGTTCCACTCTCTCTCCTTCCCTCTTGGTTTGCTCCTGTGTGCTCTGATCAGACATGTCCCTCTTCCTAGCTGTAGCTTCAGTGCTGTCCTCTGAAGTGCATTCTTCTGGAGGAGGAGGGAGAGGGGGGTAGTTATTGTTCTTATTCCGAGGAACTCCGTGCTAAATTATTCCTGCCATCGAGTTGATTTGATTCTGGCTCTTTTAAAAAGTTTAATATTTATTTATGTATTGATCCTGGCTCTTATGTTATCATTGTATTATGTATGCTTAATGCCTACGTATTAAGCATAGAATATTATAACGTCTGTAACTTCTTTCAAATGGTTCAACAATAGTCACACACATATGTATATATGGAAACAGCAAAATGCTAAGAGATGCTGGCTCTAGGTGGAGGGTTTTTCAACCTTTCTCACCTGAAAATTTTCAAAATGAAAAGTTCAAACTGAAAAAAACACTAAACTCACAACCAACGATTTGATGCCCACTCATAGCATCCCTATCGGACGGGTACTCTTCATTTGCATAGAGCGCCCCGCCCCCTTGCGTAGGCAGCGCTGGCTAACACAGCGCACCTGGCGGTCACAGTCGGAACTCCTGCCCTGCCTCAGCTTCCTGCTCTGGGCATGCTCATTAGTCCTCAGCGCTGACCCCGCCCCCGGCCGTACGTGTGCGTGCACGGTGCCGGCGCGTGAACCTGGTTGCCCACGAGACGGCGGACGGGACAGGCGTCTGAGGTGCTGGCACTGGCACGAGATGGAGACGGCGAAGGTGGAGAAGTTCCGCACCCCGGGTCGAGGAAACGGGCTGCGCGCGTTGAAGGCGCTGCAACCCGGAGAGCTGCTCTTCCGCTCGGACCCCTTGGCATACACCGTGTGCAAGGGGAGTCGTGGCGTCGTCTGCGACTGCTGCCTGCTCCGGTACGTACAGCGCCTCAGCCTCGGGCCCCGCCGGGCTCGGGCTGCCCCGGGGCTACAGCCGCCGGCCCCGTTCTCCCCTGATCGGTGCTCCCAGCCCGTCACCGCTGACGGTCCACCCGCCGCGCGGCTGGCTGCTCCTGGGGTCCCAGGCGCACCTCTTTTCGTGGGCTGAACCTGCCTGCTCACTCCACTGCCCCGATCCCCGTAGGAATTTGGGGAGCAGTTGGGACAGATTTGACCCATCATCGCAGTGGCCACACACAACTCACAGTGCTCAGGATTAGGAGGTTAGTTAGGGAAGTAAGAGTTTCCAATTCAGGAAGGACTTGGGATACAATTCTTCGCACATCATCGCAGCCATGCCCCCCAGGCAGGCTCTTGGGCTGCCCCGCCTCTGCCCCGCTGGGCCAAATGCTCAGAAGCGCTTTAGCTTCTTTACTGGTGGCATTGCATTCCGCCAGCCAGCCTCCTGTGCCTGAAAGTGCACAGGTCCTGCGACCAGGAAGGCGGCCACTATGTTTCCTAGTTCTACCTCTACCGCTACTATTTCTCTACAGTTTCTCCCCATCGCTACCTGGCTTCATGCCATTGCTAGCTGTCTTCCGTGTTACAGTTTAGGAGGCCCTTAAAGGCAGGGAACAGGCATGAGTGTCACTTCTTGCTCTTTTCTTTTTATAAAATTTTTTTAATGGAGTAGGAAGCCTCCTATTTCTCTCTCAGAGCAGCTGGTGGTTTTGAACTGCTGTTCTTGAGGTTAGCAGCCCATCATAGAACCATTACGCCACCAGGGCTCCTTGCTCTTCTTTCTTATAGTGAGGGCTTTCCTTTCTGCCTCTTGAGTTGGCTCAATTTTAATCTTAGCAGATTGGCAAAATTGACCATTCCCCACTTAAGGGTTTCTTAACTTGTTAAAGTCTTCCTGTATTCCTCATGCCATGTTCTTCATATGGCCTCATTTGCATGGTTCCACCCCCTACAAGAGTGTCACATACCATATGTACATTATTATCAAGCTCTCCAATCTCTTTGGCGGGTCACAAGCACTTCATTTGCATAGTCCCACTCCATCCTTTGGTGGGAGTTTCAAAGACTGTCTATAGGAGCCATATTAAATAATTCACTGTACCACGCTTAATATCATCTTGGTGTTCGGAATACTTTTTTTGGAAATACTTTTATGCTCTTCTGTTTAACCCTCATGGAAAGATAATCTAACTTCTTCCTACCACAAGTTTAAAACTTTTAAAAAAATTTAATCATTTTATTTGGGGTTCGTATAACTCATCCCAATCCATACATGCATCCATTGTGTCAAGCACATTTGTACATTTGTTGCCATCATCATTCTCAAAACATTTGCTTTCTACTTGAGCCTTTGGTATCAGCTCCCCATTTTCCCCTCCCTCCCCACACCCCACTCCCTCATGAGCCCTTGATAATTTATTAATTATTATTTGTCTTATCTTACACTGTCCGTTGTCTTGCTTCACACACTTCTGTTGTCCATCCCCCAGGGAGGAGGTTATATGTAGATCCTTATAATCTGTTCTCCCTTTCCACCCCACCCTCCCTCC